CCTGAGGTTTTTGGCTAGGTGATGGTAGACCTATACTTTTTAAAAAGGTCTTGATACGTGCTTACCGTATGGCAGGTGAGTACATTGATGAATTAAGTATACATGGCCCATAATAACTCATTAGGCTTTCAGCCAGTACAGTTAGAGTTTCCTGGATTCTCAATTCAAGTAATCCTAAAAACAGAACCCTCCAAACATCAGAGTCTTCATTTTTAGACATATTGCTGGATGCATATGTTATCAGTCTCTAATATTTCCAGTGTGACAAAACTGTATCTTTATACATTGTATTATGAGTAATAACTGAAAGAAAAAAAAAAGCCCTAATTTGTAGGTGGAACCACGAAGGGGGTGGGATGTACAGGACCAAAGCATGTTAGATGTAATCTAGTATTTGTGTATAAAGAGACTGAGTTCGAATGTGAGAGTGCATTAGAAGCCTGTGTAGGAGAAAACTGGGCTAAATGTAAAAGGATGAAGGTGATCATTTTGATTCCATCCTAACTACATTTTTGAATAAGGACATTTAAGTGTTATTAACAAGTGGCTCTATATAATTGGAGTTAAACTTTTGGTAGCAGTTTTGGTAGTTTTGACTTTCAGCATATTTAGAAAGTAAATTTATTTGAAGTTTTTATGTAGAAATACTCACTTTGTTGCAGTTTATTACTATTTATTGCTGTTTTTAAGAGCCTATAGTCAATTCCTTCTTTACAAAGAGCTTATTAAGAAGACTTGTAATATTTCACTAGTTTTGTTGAAGTACACTCTCTGTATACTTTGCTAATGACGTTTATATGTCTATGTAATTAACTGACAATATGTCCTTGAAGAAATTATTTTCAACCTTTTAAGTAATTGTCAGATAACAGTACATGTGTAGTATCCATTGGTTTTAGCCACCGCTGATACTTTTTCCTTTTGATTCAGCAGCATCTTTAAAACCCAAAATTGGACGGTCTGTCTGAAGACAGTCTAACAAGAGCGGTACATTGTATAAATTTAGACAGCTCTGATGAATACAATCCTCAGATTATTATTCTGTATATCAACCCGTACAGGGAGAATTTGAAATCGAAATAGAGGGAAAGGGGGTTTTAGAAGTGAAGTGGAGCTTTTTTGAGAGAAGTATCATTCGAGACTTATGCACGCATACCCTTGCAGGCTTTCTGTTCCAGTCTAATTTTAATGTGGCACAGGGAAGGCTCACGGGTGGATGCCCCCTTGTGGTCTCTTACCAAAATAAATAGCACAAATGGAAATAAATAATGGGGATCTTAGACAAGGTAAATCATTAATTTCTTCCTCTATAGAATAATTTTTAGAAAGTTACTTCTGAGGAAAAACAGCAGAGGAATTGTTATTTCCATGTTCCATGTATTTTATTGACTTTAAAATTTATCAAGTATTACTTTAACCTTCGTAACAGAACTTGCATGCATGTTAGCTAGACACTGACATAAAGAAAAAGAGATTGTTGGGCTTGTTGTCTACCGTTGTCATCCTGGGCCTCTAACTCAGTAACAACTGCCTCAAAAATATGATGAGATGTGATAGTAATTAGAGGCCTAGCCTTTCTCCTTCCCCCTGCCCCTCAATGCACAGAAGTAGAAGTATATGGGGCTTGGGAAATCTATTTATAGTCACTTGACCTAAGAGCTGTATGAGGCATCAGAAGAAATGAGGGTTTTTATTAGACAGTTGGTGAATTCAAGCTTATTTGCTTTTACTGACATTCGTAAGATCTTCTTTATGTGTGCATGTGGGTTTGTGGATGAAGTGGAGAAGTAGCAGCAGCAGTCAGTGTTTTACAAAAGAAAGAGCGTAGATGCAAATAGCTGCTTTTCTTCTGTTACCCAGTAAGATGCGTGGTGGTTGGAGATAGTCCAATCCAGTGAGTATGGGCTTTGAGGTTAGATAGGCCTGGTTCTAAAACTGATTTGATTTCATACCAGTTCCTGGGCAGAGTTGCATAATACTGGATAAGATACTTCGGTTTTGAACATGGGTTTCTTTGCTTTAAGGAGAGGTTATAACCTACCTTAGTGAACTGTGGTAGCTTGATTTTCATCTTATGAAGTCTTGGCATATACCATTGTTCCTACTCCTAGGGTAAGGCAGTTTTGAATTACAAAGTGCACCACGGACTTTCTCACTACTGGGTTGTTGGTAAAGACTCCTAATGATAGAATGGATCTTAGAAAGTGCTAAGTCAACTCATAGCCCTTTTTCTTTGCTGTGCTCTTAGTGCTGTGCTACTACCTAAGCACATATTTTATTTATAAGTTTCTGGCTCTAAGTGCGATTATGTCACATTAAAGAATTTACTAGGTCAATTATTTTAATAGTTGAGGCCTACTAACCAATTCTTTTTATGAAAATGAGTCAGTAAGATTTTTTTTCTTCAGGAGTAATAGTTGCATGTTTGGGCAGGTTTAACTTAAGAAACTATTACTGTTGCTTGGTAGCCATCTTACTTTAAAAAGCTTCTGTGAAGGACAACAAAGTAATGAAATGCTTTTTGTTGTTTTGCTTTGTTTTTCAAGAGTTTCTTACAGAAGCAGGTTCATTTTATTTAATACTTAAAGGAATTAATCTGAGTCCATTTTCTGAAGGAAAATTAGATACTTTTTTTTAACCCATGCAGATTCCACTTTAAATAATCAGATTTTTCTTTCTTCTAAAATTTTCCTTGACAGTTGAAGTTGTAGAAATTTACTAATATTTTCTTTTGAATAACTTGCTGTAAAAGACGAGAGAACTAGAATGATCCTTCAAAATAAACAGTATAACTGCTTGGGTTTAAATGGTTTTGGGAAGTAAGTGGGCTATAAAACTCATGTAAACAAAGATAACTGTAGTCCTATCAGAAAGCCGTTCTAGGTATTATCATACCTGCCTCTCTCGCCTTTTCCTTTATTTCTGATGCTCAGAATACAGAGCCTATACCTTTGATTTCACCTTAGTCTCTGTTGTTCTGAATCCTGAATGTAATTAATAAAGACTTTAATGTAAAACAATATTTTGATGGTGAAAATTTGTTATAAATTGTGAAATGGATTTTTGTTTTTTTATCCTTTAATGTCTGTTCTTGGGGAGACTACTTTAGGAAAGGGAAGGGGGTTAGGGGGATGGTAGGGTGGGGAAAAGGCAGCTAAAGCAAAGTGGAGACTAGACCGTGGGGGGTGATGTAAGAACACATGCCATTCTACTAGGGACTTGTTTTTTAAACATAAAAAGCATATGTGCCAAATTTACATATTTACTAATTAAAAAGGCTTCCTGGAAACATTAAGTAGACTATCTTCTATAACCTTTAACACTGTCACTAATGGATATTGCTTAGAAAATTTCATCGAAGGTCCTTTAAATAATGTAAATGATTATGAATATGTAACTAGTTAATATGCAGCTACGAAAGGATTATCATGTAGAGGTTAATGAACATTCTGCTCTTATGGTTTGCAGGGCTTTTCTTTTTGTGCTTTTGGCTCACTTCATGCTTGGAAACACATGCATTGGGATTGGAAAGCATCCTGACTGTTTTTTGGGTCTCATCTTTTAATGGGGTTGTTAAAGAGGAACTTTATGAAAAGGATTTCATGAAGATTTTTTTCTTTTTCAATTTACATTTAATTCTGTTTGTCTATTTTATAATTACTGCCAAATCAGAAACAGTGAAATGGATTGATGTAGTTTTAGCCTGGTTCTTCCAGATGTAAAGTCAGTACTCTATTATATATTACCACTGTTATTAAGTGTTGCTATGTGATTGATACTTACTGAGAGATCTTCATTCTAAAACGTACTTTTTATGCTGAGTTAATGTGTAGTATGGTTGGGTATCTGATTACAGCATGTATTTTGATACAGGATTGCTGCCTTAGTATTTAAAATGTACCAAAGGAGGACATTTATTTCAGGAATTAAATGTTATAATAGGAATTTAGTGACAGCCCTCCCCCCCCCAAAGTCTTGTGATTTTGGGGTGAAACATTGAGCAAGAGAGACAAGAGGCAATATTGGTGTTTAGAATGGTGAACTGAAGCAGTGTGTTTCAAACCAGATGCTGCTGCTGTCTTTTTCACATGGCCTTGTATTGAGCATTTTGGCTTGTATCCCTTAGTTTCTCTGTATCTCAAATGGTGTTGTAGTATTTGAGATTTTTGTTTAAAATTTTTATTGGTGGGCAATTTAAAAACAATTCATAATCTTTGAAAACAGTGTTATTTTTAAAATCGCCATTCAAGTGTCTCTGTTCCTCATTGGTTAGTGTTGTTCTCTCCCTCCCCTTCCTCTCAATTTTGAGAATCTGCTGAACTGTCTTTAAGGGAAGCAAATAACTTTTGTACTTAATTTTATTGTTTCTGTATTATAAACATAGTTTAAAAAGGCTATTAAGTGCTTAAAATTTTACCATAATTCACTGAGGGAACAAATGGGCTGTTCAGAGCATCTCTTTATCCCAAGTATTTCTTCTTGAAAATGTTAGTAGAAAAATATCACTGAACTCATTTTTAATGCGTCAGAATAAAAATTACAGGTGAAAACATTTGGAGATATACTGACAAAATAAAATATTTTTACTACTGTCATTTTTTTTTTAGTGATGAAATGTTGATGTTGCATTGGTTTTTTGTTATTTATAACATTTGCGTATTCTACAAAATATGTAACATTGAAAGCAGGTCTGTAGATTGTACAAAATACTAGTTATCTTATATCATATGTCACCTAATAGTCATGAAGCGGGTTTTGTAGCAAAGTATGAATCGGAAGGCTGTAATTTGTTCTGCAGTTATCAGCCTGCATTAGGGGGTTATGATAAAGTGTGCTGCTTAAAAACTAACAGTCACATCTCTGTGCATTTGACAAATAAAAATGTATACTGAGATGCTATTAAATCTGTAAAGCCACTGTTCTAGTTTTCTGATACACTGATTTTGTAGCTTTGTGTATAGCCCTGTTTTTTCATGAGTAGTTATCTGTTTTCATGACAGGTGGTCACTAACTGCCAAGAGAAAATCCAGCATTGGTGAGTGAAAGATGGTTTTATATTATTTCTGAAATACTGATGGGGGTCATCTATTTGTATTTAAATAAAGTATATTATTATTATTTTTTTGTAACCCGTAATTGAATTCTTCTAGTAATCTCCATTTTGAATGCTTTTGATACTAATTTATATTGTCCTTCACCGTTTACTGAATTACGTGTTCCCTGATTTCCTGAAATTGTGTCACCATTTGTGTTTATTCTAATTGCCTTCTTTTTTCCTTTCTTTTCTTTTTTTCAAATTAGAATAATATTAATATCATTATAAGGTGGCAACTGAGACGTTTTTGAACCTGGTTAATTGCAGAGGGCTGTATTTGGGGAATATTCGTATATTTGTAGTAGAATAATAATTTGGAATCAGTTGTTTTAAAATACTGATGGAAATATCTACATTTCCCTGAAGTTTGAAAAATCTAATTAATTGCCTACATTTCTGAGCTTTCTTATGGACTGTACTTTTTTCAGAGTGTAGAGAGAAAGGAAGCATATCTATTTTAATGTGCTAATCTTTAGTTAATAGGACAGTGCTTGGTAAATAACATACTTTCCTAAGTCTTCTGAGGAAAATGCTCAATTTAATGGTGAATAAAATCTTATATTATGAGTTGTCATGAGGTATAGCTGTTGATCTTACAGATATCAAATTACAATATATCCATGCTGTGTTTACGAAGATTTTACTGAGAGAACAACAGGAGCTGTCTTGATTATTGTCTGCAGGGTTATTGCAAAATCATGGTAACTGCCCCTTTAGTGGTGAGATTAAACCTTTGGTTATACACCATCAAGCATATAATATTTTAAATTTATTTTAAGAGGCTTTTTCTTCATGCCTGAGAGATCTCCAAGGAAATAATTTATAGTTAGTGTATATCAAATGTTTTTTGGTTTAAATGCACATAGGCTGCAAGCGGTGGATAAGAGTGAAAATCGGTACAATCTGTACACATCATCTTATTAAATTCTGACTATTGGCTTGCAGAAAATAATCTAAAACTAATAATATCCACTTTATAAATAAAAATTCAGGGACTTCATTAATTTTCAATAAATGCAGTGTTGTAGTTGCATCTACTGGTGGTGTAAGTCTGTCAACATTTCCATGATGGACATTCGCTTTTCATTATATATTCAGTCCAGGTTGAAACTTGAAATTCAAGTACTTGGCCAAAGAATTAACCATTCCCCTTTAGCCCTCTGTTTCCCACTAATTTGGCCAAAGTGATCTATTTTACAAATAATTCAGGGGAAATTTTATTCATGTGGACTTCTCTCTATTGGTTTGGTAAGAAATTCAGGAAATCAGTAAAAGGTTGGATTCACTAAGGACAGATACTAATTGAAGCAAATGTGTGAATAACTTGCTTCTGGTTTGTTTTGCAAGACTCTTTCCCTGTGAGACTGCAAATTCCTTAAGGCCGAGGGACATGTGTTCATTTTTTTTTTTTTAATCCACAGCACCTCCTACTGTGTTTGGCATATTATAGGCACTTAATAAATCTTTGAGTAAATGACGACCAAAGATACATAATTATATATAACATTTTAGTTTGCAGATTCTATAGCTGTGCCCAAGCCCTGGTAACCACTGACAAATAGAAATATGACATTTATTTCAGAGCAGGTTAATGTGACTCTCAATCTCAGTTTCCAGTTTTCCAAAGCTTTCCAAACTAGAGAAGCTTAGATATTTACCTACACCTATCTTAAAGTAATATAGTACCTTATTTATACATTCAAAAATTAAAATAATTTTTCCAGTTAAAACTTGCTTTTCCTCTGAATCGTTTCTATTAGGGCTCAGGAAACAGACTTTTCTGTTTGTTTTTAATGAGGATCTGATATTGCTAGACTCTAAATGGCCAGTGAACTCACCAATTTATTATATTAAAAAACTGAAACCAAAGTATCTCCATTCCTCTGAAAGCCAGGAAATAGCTATTTGGGAGCATTGTGGAATTCTTGTGATATTTTTATTCTGTTAATTCTACAAACAGTGATTGAGTTCCTACCATATGCCAGTATTATGTTGCTGTTTGGAATTGAACGACCCTGCCATGGAGGAATTCATAGTCGAACACTAAACAGGGAAATCACAATAATTTTGTGCTATTTGCAGAGAGCTAGGAAGGAAGAACAGAAGCTGGAATGCTTCTTAAGGGTGTCTTACATGCTGCTTTTAAAAGCATGTTGCTTTTCAGTTTTCTTTAGCCCTGGTTTTAGCCCAGTCTAAAATACAATTCACATAGCTAAGCTGCCTTCTTCATGAGATACACATCAATAGAATAAAGAAATGCAAAATATGATTTTTAAAAGATGCTTTCTTATGCTAGTGATGTTTATACTTGTTTGTGCAATTTTAAAAGATTCTTTTATTTAAGGGACAAGTAATGAACATTGGAGGCTCCAAAAATGATATTAAATTTTTTAAAAAATGTAAGGCAGGAAGCAAAAATATTTATAGAAAAGTAGGAGTAAAAATGGCCTGGGGCAAACAGGATCTGTGCCAAAAAAATGACTTCCAGAAAATTAATTCCAATTCCAGAACTTTGGTGAACGGGAAACATTTATAATATTTGTTTAGTTAATAATGAATAATAAGGAGAGATTTGAGCCTAATAGTTGAGAATTTGTGCAACACTTTTAGAGCTAATAGTGGTTTTCAATTTAGTGAAGATTAAAAAAATTTAACACAACCTGTTTTTTCTCAAAATCCTTTTTACTTAACTCAGAAAATAAGGTATTATAATATCCACACAGTATTTTCTTATTAAAATATGGATATACTTCCAACTGTTTAATCCACCAGGGCTTGATTATTCTGTTTGTAGATTATCTGTAATTTTTTATCTTTTTAATTCTTCCCTAAAGAGCATGGGATTCAGAGTCACAGACCTACATTTGAATCCTGTCATTTACTAACTGTAACCTTGGGAGAATTACTAAGATTCTCAGTTTTTAACTTGTGATGATACTACTGAAGTTGAAGATTGAGATAATATCTATAGAATACCCAGACTGACAACAAATATTAAAAGTAGCTCTGAATTTTTTTTTTTTTGAAAATTGTAATTGTCCTATGAATAAAGAAAACAAAAAAACTTACCAAGGCTTTATAAATATTCCTGAATATTTTGTATTCATGCCATTATCTTCTTTTATCCTGATGGAGAGATGGCTTTTTAAGCAGTATTATTAAAGCTTTACGTTAACGTTTTCAGATGACTTTTTGTTATGAAGAATTTCAAACGAAAGCTGAGTGTGTTGTGAATCCACATGTACCCATCGCTCAGTCTCAGTAATTATCAGTGTGTGGTGTCATCTGAGCTGGTGCATTTCAACAGCCTATCCCACTACCCCCTTGCCTCACCTACGGTGCTTTTGAAGTGCACCTGATAACATATTCCATGTGGAAATATTTCAGTATATATTCTTTAAGACCTGAAACTTTAAAAAAAATTATACTAAAAAATTTAAAATTTGGCAGTGTATTTATATAGTTCAAAATTTAGGAATTTCTAAAAGGTATAAATGGAGTGTAGTTTTTCTCCCACACTTATCCCCAGTTATCATTGTAAAGTGCTTTTCTGCTAGTCCTTTATAAATGTTTCCAGAAATTGTTTGCCTAAAGGATGTGTATGTGTATATGTATGTATATGTGTGTGTGCATGTGTATTCATCCATATATTTTTATAGGTTGTGCTCCCACCCTTTCTGACCAAAATGAAATCAGGCTGTATGCTGTTCATTTAATTCATCCTTGGAGATTGTTCTCAGTTATTAGTTAACTCTTATCCTTTATTTCATTTCGTGTCAAATGTCTAAGGTTTAGAGTTACCAAATAAACTTTGGTACTGGATTTTTAAAAAATAAATAATGGCGACCTTACTAAGACTATGGTTTTACAACGCAAAATATATCCTTCCTAAGCTGTTACATCCATTATTAATTGTTCCTTAATAAAATTACTCCAAAACTTAGTGGTTTAAAACTACAACATTTTTTTGTATATGATTTTGTGGATGTGCCTATAGGGCTTGACTTACCTGTGTTGTTCTGCTACTCTTGTTTGGGCTCATTTGTGTGGTTGCAGCTTTTTGGTGGCTGGGGCAGCTGGGCTGTCCAGAATGGCCTTATGCCCAATCTAGTGGCCAGTGCTGGTTGGTAGCTAGGCCTCTCTCTCCATGTGCTCTTCTGTCGGCTCACTTTACATGATGATCTCAGGGCAGCAAGAGTGGAAGCAGCGAGGCCACGTTGTATTGGGCAGAGTGGGAAATGACTCCAGTTGGTGGGAGGAGTGATGAAGAATTTATGGCCATTTTTAATGCATCACAGGTACTTACTCTGTTGAATATATCCCACAAGAAGAAAGTTACATTACTTCTGTTGATTTGTGAGAATCTAATGAAATACGTGTATGGCACATACACGTCATATTTCTGTTAGGTGTTGTTATCATAAACTGTATGCATATGAATTATAAAATCTTCATTGTCTTGTTTCCTTCAGATTATCTTTAAAGAGTTTTAAGTAGTAAAGATATCTATGTAATTACTTGAGGTAGATTTAAGTGAAAGTAAAAAGGCGTTTTATATTGTTCAGACATTTAATTTTGGAAAGAATAGCTTTATTTTTTTTTGATATTTTATTTATTCATGAGACACACACAGAGAGAAGCAGAGACACAGGCAGAGGGAGAAGCAGGACCTCACGGAGAGCCTGATGCGGGACTCGATCCCGAGACCCTGGGATCACGCCCTGAGCCGAAGGAAGGCACGTGCTCAACCGCGGAGCCACCCAGGCGTCCCGGAGAGAATAGCTTTAAATTTGGGCATACAAATGCTGAAACACTTGGGCATGAGTATTTATTTATTTTTAATTTTTATTTAAATTCTAGTTAGTTAACATATAGTGTAATATTTGTTTCGGATGTACAGTGTAGTGAGTCAGCACTTACAAACAGAACCCAGTGCTCAT